AACCCTTATACGAAAACGGATATGTCGCAAACTAGATTTGAATGTAATAAGAGATCTTGCTCTAGAACACCAGTGACGATAAAGGCTAGTCTAACAAATGACTAATTACATTGTTCAATAAACTGAATTACAATCAAATGACTCATTATACTGTATATTATGACTATCATCCATGCCATTGCTATTCACTTTCATTACTCTAGTGCAAGGATTACTTAAATATAGTATAATCAAAGCCGTCTGTATTCTTGAATCAACTATTGATCAACTAACATTTTCCTGTTGTCTGATCGTGTGACAAGTACGCGTACTTGTGATGATAGGTGATCAAATCGAATCTTATACTAGAGTCTATCGATGGGGCAGAAATAGGACAATCATCCATGATTCCTGTTAGGAATTGATAGCTGCTTGAAGATTATTGGGATAAACATTTTCTATTACAATATCATGGATAAGGTAAGTAAGTTATGACAGTACTAATATAATTCGAATGGAAGATGAACCGTAGACATTACCACAACCTGTTTTGAGTATTGCTATAACTAAAAGAAGTAAGGCTGCAATATTGATTGGCAATTTATCCACTAATCATCCCCAAAATATCGCTAAGCACTGTTAATTACACGTCGATTGGCTTACACTGATAGCATCCCAGTGATTGCTCTGTTGATGCAGAATGTAGACGATATAGATCGATATAGATCAAGTGCAGGTGTTGATATCACTACCCTGCGCAATTTGATTTCATTCTCTCATTAGTGGCACTTAATTCTTTCAATTTCTTATATTGAGAAAATATAGGATTATGGAAAAGAGGCATTGACAACGACTTCACTCTATCGTGTGTAATTATCCTCGATGTTTCTTGCATCGTAACTTGCAATCAGCCATCGCTGTCGGTACGGAAGATGAAGAGGCCAACCAGCATCATTATGACAGAGGTAAACAGACAGGTAATATAATTTACTAGATGTAATCTACATTGCAGAAATAGGATTATCATCACCATTATACTATTCAAGGTATTAAAGTAGAATTGATAATGTCAATTTTAACTAATTATAGATGGTTAACTTTCCAAGAAGACGGTGAAAAACACAAGGAATTACTAAACTATAACTGACTAAAACAATATATTCAACCGTTTTCTCCTAGAAGTAACTCTCGTAATAGACGATAAACTGTCAGCGATTTGAGAAAAAAGTGCTATACGAAGATCTACAGCATAGTCTTGCTGACTATATAACCAAATTTTTTATCATAGTGATATCATAATGATATATTTCTTGTAAATAGTACTAGATACCATCTTATTGCCTCATACGAACTTAGAAAAACGGATACTAAATTAATGCAACCCTTTCAGCAATTCAGTAATGAAATCGACGCCTACTGCGGGTATCATTAGCCGGTTGAAGACTAGTCTCTAGTCTCTACAGCATTGCAGTGTGTTTAACCTAGATTTCTGGGTTTAGTTCAGTGGCTTCTGTTATAAGTCATTTGTAACAATGATACTCGATAGAGCCTGAGATAGCTGCTGTATCCTATGTTGTATTAGAGTGCCTGCATAGTTTATTATGTCATAATTAGGGAAAGATCCTTCAGGCTATTTATAGCTGAAATAGATCATGCAGATGCATATTGCAATAAGGCAATGTGAGCAAACTTAAATGCGGTAAAGGGCGAAGAAATTATAAAGATTCGTAATAATAAATATACAAAACCTAAGATCGAGGTTGATGTTCTTGTTTTAAAGTACGACGGTAGAAAAGAAAGTAATTATCCTTGATGTGTGAAACTTGACTAGATAATTTTTGGATCATATTAATTGGGAGATACACAAGTCAGTTTTAATGAACTGGCATGAATAATAATCGGCTTAGATAACGGAAACAGGCGATTAAGCAGTTTGCTGTTTTGATTATAATTATACTATGCATCGATAAAGTTAATTTTAAATGATTATCACCATAACGATACATTGAAGATCGTCGATTTTTTTCTGGCTAAAATGTAGGTATAATACTTAATACAGTCTATTACTTATTTATGCTCATGCAATATCATAAATTAGTGAAGTGATACAAGAAATAATTTATCTTAACGTGAAAATCAGACAATAAAATTATCTACTACGCTTGCAATTTATAGTTCTGTAGATTGACTAGTCAAAAATAAAAAGGAACAACTGGTAAGATCGGCGAATTTATAATTATACATAATGAAGATAATCAAGAATGGCTGCTGCCATTAAAATTGGCGGGCGTTGTAACATATATATAACACGTGATTGTAGATGCTTTAGCCAATCGCATTAGCGTACATGAGTCTTTAGTTTGTATCGTATTGCGTAGATATAAAAGCTGTTAACTATCCTAAGGCCGCTTGAGGTAGAATAAATTAACTCTTAAAAATATCTAGCTAACGGAGCTACATCACTATTATCCTATTTACTAATCTCCCTGGCACGTATCAGAAATATTACAGGATTGACTAGTCAAAAATAAAAGGAACAACTGGTAAGATCGGCGAATTTATAATTATACATAATGAAGATAAGCAAGGATGGCTACTGCCATTAAAGAATCGTATATAGCTTTTTCTTCTTTTACCTCTCTGGAAAATTGGCGGGCGTTGTAATATATATAACACGTGATTGTAGATGCTCTAGCCAATCGTATTAGCGTACATGAGTCATTAGTTTGTATCGTATTGCGTAGATATAAAAGCTGTTAACTATCCTACGGCCGCTTGAGGTAGAACAAATTAACTCTTAAAAATATCTGGCAAACGGAGCTACATCACCGTTATCCTATTTACTAATCTCCCTGGCATGTATCAGAAATATTACAGGCGTCATAAATTTTAACGTCAAACTACAATCCATTGAAGCAGGTATGATAATAGTGTCCGAGATTGAAGTTTAG